CCCAAATGTATATCTCTATATACCTCTCTCCTGAATTCCAGACTCATACAGTCAATTGCTTACCCGATGTCTCTACTTAGATGTCTAAAAGGCAGCTCAATCCAAACATGTCCTATACTGAACTCTTCATGAGTTCCTTCAACCTGCTCAATCCCGTAGTCTTCCCTATCTTAGTAAATGGCAACTCCATTCCTTCAGTTGCTCAGGCTTGGAGTCATCCTTGACTCTTCTCTTTCCCTTATAACCTTTACTCAATCTTTCAGTTCTACTTTCCAGTTCTTCTTCCAATTACTTTCCATTGATTTACTCAACTACCTTGTCCCAAGCTAACAGCATCTCTTACCATGATATTGCATTAGCTTTCTAACTTGTCTTCCTATCTCCATCGTGATCCCCTTATAATCTATTCTCAACCCAGAATCCAGAATCATCCTTTTAAAAAGGTATGGTAGAATATGCCATTCCCTTGGTCAAAACCCATCGAATGTCTTTTTGTCTCTCTTAAATTAAAATTCCAAGCTCTTACAAAGTACTTTAAGGTCCTATATCATTTGGCCTCTGCTCTGTCTCTGACATCAACTTTACCTACTCTCCCCCTTGCTCACTTTACTCTAGCCACACTGGCCTCCTTGGTGATTCTTAAGGACATCAGGCATACTGTCAGGACCTTTGCACTTGCTGTTCCTTCCACTTGAAACACTCTAGCCCCAGAAGGCTCACTCCCTTATATACTCCAGGCCTTTGTGCAAATATTATTTTCTCAGTGAGTCCAAATTTGACCACCTTATTTAAAATAGCATCCCTCCCCCAAATCACTTCAGCACTTTTTATTCCCCTTCCTTACCTTTTCATTTTAGCACTTATCAGCCATCTTACACATTGTATTTTTACTTATCTGTTGATTGTTTTTACTAGTGTATAGTCTCCATGAAAGCAAAGATATATATCTGTTTGGCACTGATAGTGCTGGGCATATAGGAAGAACTCAATACATATTATTGAAGGAGTTATGAATAAGTTTAAATGACTTTTTTGAAAAATTTTGTTGTGAAAAGAGCATAAAAATGGAGTGCAGGTAGGATACAGTGAGGTTTAATTTTTTTAGATATGCGATATTACAGAATGCTTATATGCTAATGGAAATGATTCAGTAGAGAGAGAAAATTTGATAATATAGGAGAAAGAGGGAAATCTGTCTGAATCATATCATTAAGTAGGGTATAAGAAATGGCGTAATTGAAGGGAATGGCCTCAAAGGGCAGCAAACACAGTTTATCTATGGAAACAGGAGAGAAGGCAAAGAATATGGTTACAGATGCAGGTAGCTAGGATCATGTAAAATTTCTCTGACTGCTTCTTATTTCCTCATCAGCCAATTTCCTTTCTGCATTACTTGATATGAAAAAAAATGGGGGGGGCATTGGAGATTGGAGAGGCAAGAAGAAGATATTACATGAGTCTCTAGATAGTGGAAGACTAGACTAATTAAAGTAGGCAGTAGGATTTCCATGCTCACTTACATTTAGTTGTCACAAATGAGTCCGGTCAGAATGGTAGTGTGTTTGCTCTAGTGTGTTCAGTTACACGTGCAGGAAGGTGCAGAGCTGGATTTCAGCAGGCTTGGTGCTTTGCCAGGCAAATACCAAACAGTAAGAGGTGAGCAAGATTGTTGATGGTGTATAAAATAAAGGGATGATAATGATGGACCATGAGATCTAGGCTAGGTAAGATGGGCAATCAGGGCATGGGGATGAGGTAGGGTGGGTATAGTTGGACACACTGTAAAGGTGATAAGGTTGATGAATTGGCCATTCTAGCAAATCAGAATTTTTGATTTGGGGAATAAATCACAAGATAGGAACTGTTTGATATTTGAAAATGGGCTTATGGAGGGATGCAATTAGCATGTTTGGCATAACAAAGTGAAGGGTCTGGGTAGTTTGGCTGAGATGAAGTGGAGGGCAAGCTTGTTGGAGAAGAGCTAAGAATTCAGAGGGCAGGATATTGGAAAGATCCTCTATGTGAATATTGAAAACACCAAGAATTAGAAATATGCGCTGTTAAGAAGAAAACAATGTGAAGATGCTAATATTTTTTTGGACTGACAGTGACCTGGGCCTCTATTGATAATTACGACAAAGAGGAGTAGCAGGTGGTATAGTTTTGTTGGCATAACCTTCAAAGGAACTAGAGGATTTTATGGAGAGGACATGGGAGATGATGTAGAATTGGTGATGAGGCACTAGGAAGACACCTTACCCCATTTCAAGGCTCGGTGTCATGAAAGATGCCTACAGCAAAAGCATGAATCAGAGGACAGGTTTCAGTGGAGCATGAAAGTAAAGTGGACAGTCTTAGAAGTGGTTAAAAATACAGGACACTAATATTCTATCAGCAAAAATGGCCTTCATTAGCTACTATGCCTGAATACCCAGAAATTTCCAATTTCATGATATGAGAAAATAAGACAATACAATTTCCAGGGGTCGTGTTAGTTTCTTAGGCTTCTATAACAAAGCCCACAAACTGGGCAGCTTAAAACAACAGGAATGTGTTGTCTCACGGTTCTGGAAGCTGTAAGTCTGCAATCAAGCAGAGCTACGCTCCCTCTGAAATCTGCAGGGGAGAATCCTTCCTCATCTCTTCCAGATTCTGATGTTTGCCAATAATCCTTGGTGTTCCTTGGCTTGTAAATGTATCACTCTAACCTCTGCCTCCATTGTCATGTGGAGTTCCTCCTGTGTGTCTCTGCCTTTTCTTCTTACAAGGACACCAAGCAAATTGGAATAAGGGCTCATCCTATTCTATTATGTCCTCATCTAATTAATTACATTTGCAATGACCCTATTTTCAAATAAGACATTATTTTCTGATGTACTGAGGGTTAGGACTTCAACATATCTTTTTGGGGGAAATAATCCAACTCATAGCAGGGGTATTGAAAAAAATAGTACATCTTTTACAGACTGTGTTCATATTTTAAGTCACTCAGGTTCTTGTTCTGCTAAGTAAATGAGGCTTAGTAACCCCTGTGTTTAAGAAATTCCCATTGTTTGTAAAATGTATGACAACCTAAACAGACAAAAAGTATATACATACTATGCATGTGATTCAAAGTCATATAACATAGAAGGATCTATTGATGAGCTCGATGATGCCACTGAACCTATTGGGACAGCCCAGTTGACTCAGAAGGGAAGCATTAAACTTTTAAGTTGAGGGTCTTGGCATCTCTTTCACTATTCTTACAGCTCTATTATTTTAAAATGTTGAACCAACTAATGCTCACAAGTCTATGAGTCTGTGTATGGGAGAAAGCTTATAATAAAGAGATGCCATAATTTTTATCAACTGAGAAAATTTATGTTATGGCATGGAGATGGGAAGGAGAGGGATAAAAGTATTCATTTGATTCTTCAATCATGAGCTGATACAGGGTCCCAGAGATTTCAGCCTCTGATATACTCAAAAGTATTACCCCAGGTCTCAGGCCGCTAGTGGCGGCTGTAACTTCTCTCCTGTTCTTCTTAAATGAGTCACATTTGTCACTCTCCTGCAATGGAGAACAGGTGGGCTATGCAGCCTTTTACTGGGCACTTACTAGATGCCAAGCACTATACTAGTCCCTTGTATAGTGACCCACTGCAAGCGGGACCTCAGACTGGCCGGCGTACTATGCCCACCGAGGACTGCTCCTGGGTAATTGCCCTTGTGATCCCAGGATTTGGGAAAAAGCACTGATGGATGATTCCAGAATCTCACATTTAGTGAGCAGGTAGGTACACAAGAATTCTTTTCTTCCAAATTAATGCAAATATTCACTTTAGTTTCAATTTAACTCAGTGCAAATTCTGAATTGGTAAAGTCCAAATTCATGAGGTTTTTTGATGCTGAGGAAAATGATCTGCTTATTTGACTCTTTTTACCTTGCCATAATGGAGCTAGCATTTCAGAAGGGAGGGCAAGTAAGGCTGAGGTTTATTACTTGAAGGTAATGTCTTTCATGAAAGATGCAGAATCCAACTGTTTAGTAGTATATCTATTCCTTTCTATTTCCTACACAGCTGGTAAGAAATGAAGTCCCTCACTCTATTACTCTAATTGAATTCCAACTTGGGTAATTATACTATAATTAAATAAATTTTCCCCATAGTTTTAATTCACTGATAAATGGTGCCAGTCAAACAGCTACATTATAGTCCCAGAAACACATCCCCACTACATTTCAATGATAAGTAGAATGATTTATATTTGGAAGATTTGTGTTTGAAAAAATGCACAGTTCATAAAATATTTTAGGTATCATTCATGATTACATATGCTTTGCTCAGCATGAGATAACATTAATTTCTATTATAGTCTTTCATCTAATTTCTCACATGCTTAGTGCCAAAAGAAAGAAGACAGTTAATTAGCATTTCTTGTTTTCAGAACAATTTTTGTTTAGTTAACCAGGAGCTTGTATCTACTTGTATGTTTTATTTCTAAAGCACATTTTATTAGCACTCGGAGACAGAATGGAATAGGTGTTAACTGATTCCCATTTTACAGATGAACACACTGAAGCAGTCTTCCACAAGGTGAGAAACTGGCTACTATCAGTATTGGCCTTGGAACCCAAACTTCCCCTGCTACCTGCTCCATGGCTCTCTCTGTCAAACACTATCAAACACTGGGTCACTATCAATCACTTTAGTTTTACTAATGAGAAAATAAAGAGCAGTACATTTGTGACCTGTGTCACAGGTTATTAATTTATAATAGCTAATGATTTAGCCAGGAGTTTGAGGCCTAATAACTGGGTCTTCATGCTGTTCTTGGATCACAAGACTGTGAAGCTGCTTTGTGTCTGAGTATTATTACTTGGCAGAGCTCGAATAAAACAGTTCAAAACATGGTGCAAAAAAAATGCAAATTTTAATTTTATTCTAATGACCCTTTTTAAAGGGGTGTAGATAGCTTTTAATAAAGAATATTAAAGACAACATCTAAATACTCACAAATAGCAGCAGTAGCAGGGGTGTTATAACGATGCCCTGAAAGAAATAAAAGACATGATGATCATTTATCAGCCTGCAAATCAGGATATTTTCTTTGCCATTTTAAACTCTGAGACATGGAAATGCGTATCCTTCTCATTTTAGTTTAATAAAATCTAGGGGATAAAGAAGAGGGAGCCCCAATCTTGGCTCTCCCTCCCGTTGTGCCTTAACATCTCTATTACAATTATTTGCATTTGGCATCAGTAAAAGTACAACCACCGATCTTCCTTAAACTCGTCTTTCCTTTTGTAAACTTAAGTTCCCTTCGACATTGCACATGTATCACCCGGATAGAAGCTGATGGCTGGCAAGTTTTCTCACTCCAAAGCTTTCAACTCTAACTTGGATAAAGTGCCCCTTTTTGAGAGAAGACAGGTGGTTTAGTCCCAATTGGGGTCCTCTCCTGAGCAAAGACCACGTCAGTTGTGATGAATGAGATGTCGTGATTTTGTAACGTGAACTGATCTCCCCTAGGAAATGAGCTGGGATCTCAAAACTCATTTCACTTGATTAGACTCCATGTCTCCATGGTGGAAGGCAAGTCTTTCATCTAATTCAGCCACATAGGACCACCTCAGTCCCTCTGCCTCCCCTAGGCAGAAACGAGCAAAAGATTTGTTTTCTTCGATGACAGGGAACAGTTTGAGGCTGTTGCCAATGAGGCTGGATACCAGCTTTTAAGGTTTCTTGAAGGTAAATCTTTAAAACCTAAGTGTTTGAGTTGGGAGTTGAAATGACAGGTTTCAGTTTTGGAGCAGCAGATGATTATTTGCTGGTCTTAGTTCTTCCTTTATCTCTCAACACTTTGTTATGATTTATACAAGAAAAAGCATTTCAGATTTTTATTAATGAATTCTACTTGGAATTTAAAATTTTCAGAGAATCTGAGGGTATGTTTGTGTGTATTTAAAAGAGAGAGAGAGAGAGAGAGAGAGAGAGAGAGAGAGAGAGAGAGAGAGAAAGAAAGAAAGAAAGAAAGAAAGAAAGAAAGAAAGAAAGAAAGAAAGAAAGAAAGAAAGAAAGAAAGAAAGAAAGAGAAGCACTATACCCAGACAGTATCCAGGATCCAGGTCTGGGACCACTTCATTACTTTTGGAAAAAAGACCTTTTGGTATTTATGTGGGAGTCCTTTTGTCATTACAGTAACTAAATTGTTTTGGATGTGGCTCAAGAGGGACTGGCTTACTTTATGAACATTGCTACCATGACTTTCTTGGGCATATACACATGTGAATATCCATAATGCAGATTTGTTTTATTATTAAATAATAGAATAAATGCCTCTTTATTGTGCAGATTTACAATTGGCAATAGGGAATACAACATTTAAGAGTAACTTTAAAATCTACTTATTAAAACATGTATTGTGGCTTATCAACTCCACTGGTGTCTACAAAACAGGTTCTCATTAGTACATTTAGAAGAGTTAAATGTGCTAAATGCCAAAATAATTTTTAACTTAGAAGGGCTACTGTCCTTCAATGACATGGACCACGTTTCACACTTTAGAAGGAATTCCAAACTTTATAGAGCTACATGGAAATGAAAATGTCTGTTTCAGTCTATGTGGGAGCCATCCAATTTCAAGTCAATTTGCTTAAATATTGATTGAACAACTATTTTTTTGCTGGGCACTGTGCTCATCATTAGAGATCCAAGAGCAAATACAACACAATCCCTATACTTAAACAGCTTATAATCCAGTAAGGGACATTGACTTAGGAACAAAGTTCAATACAGAGTAATACGAGCTGCTACCACCACAGCTACCACCGCTGCCTGTGCACAAACATTGTCCATGGGTCTGAGGATTGACACCCCCTCCCCTGCCACCACTGCCAGTGCCTGTGTGCACCATCGGAGGCCTGCAAACAGGCCCACCCTGCCCACTTCCGGTGCCCGTGCACACTGTCTGAGGGCCCTGGGATTGACACGCCCCACCTGCCAGTACCCACACACATAATCCAGGGGACAGATGACAGGCCAGCCCCACCCGTTATCACTGCTGCTGGCACCTATGCACGTCCTATTGGGGCCTGGTGATTGACCCACCTTATTTTCTGCTACCAGCACCTGCACAGACTACCAGGGAGCTGGAGGGAGGTCCACAGCACCTGCTGCTACCACTGCCAGCACCCACATACATCATCCGGGCACTAAGAACAGCCCCACCCCATTCGCTATTGGCACCTGCAGACATCACCTGAGGGCCTGAGGATCGATCTGTCCTGCCTGCCAGGACCCACATCCACTATCTGGGGGCCTGAAGACCAGCCTGCCCTGCCTACCACTGCCATACCAACACCCATGCACATTGTTTGGGGGCCTAGGGATTGAGCCACCCCTGCTCATCACCACGGCACCTTCAGGCACCACTGGGGGGTCTGAGTAGAGGCCTGCTTCACCTGCCACCACTAGCACTCACAAGTACCACTCAGAGGCATGAAGACAGGCCTGCTCCACCTGCCACTGCAGCTGCTGGCACCTATGCACATCATCTAGGGGCCTGGAAATTGATCTGCTCTACCCGCTACCACTTTCACCCTTGCACATCAGTGGTGGGCTTTAAGAAAGACCCACCCACCTTCACTTCTGTGAGTGCTGGTGCTCCTGTATGTTGTCTGGATTTGCTATACCCACCACTGCTCGTGCCTATATATGCCATCTGGGGGCCTGAGGACAGGCCCACACTGTCCTTCACCACTACAATTGGTGCCCAAGGACCAGCCCATCTGGTGTCCCTGTCCCCAGCAAAGCCTCACCACAGCCTCCACTAAAAACCACACAGACACCACTGACGCTGATTACAGCCAAAGAAATCATATGGAAATTATACTACTATGCCTACACAGAATTGAAGCCAAATCACCCTAACTAATTGACACAGATAAATCTATAGGAAAAAGTCTTTCCCTATGAAAGTCAATCTATAAAATTGAAAGAAGCAACTGTTACTCCAGATGCACATATATCAACAGAAGGAAACAAGAAACATGAAAAAGCAAGGAAAGATTATCACTCCAAAGGAACATAATAATTCTCTAATAAGAGATCCCAAAGAAAAGGAAATTTGTTAAATGTCTGTAAAAGAATTCAAAATAGTGAAAGCAAAGAAACTCAGTGAAATATAAGAGAACAAAGATAAATGACACTAAGAAATCAGGAAAACAATTCATGATCTGAATGAGAAATTCAACAAAGGTAGAGACATCATAAAAAAAGAACCAAACAGAAATCCTGAAACTTAAGAATTCAATTACTAAAATAAAAATAATCAAGAGCTTCAACTATAGATTAGATCAAGCAGAAGAAGTAATTTTTTGAACTTGATGGCAGGTCTTTTGAAATAACCCAGTCAGACCAAAAAGAAAAGAAAAAAACAATAAAAGAAAAGAAAGATGACATGACATATGGATACAATAAAGTGACCAAATATTCAAATTTTTTGATTTTCAGAAGAAGAAAAGATAGGCAAAGGCATAGAAAACCTATTTAATAAAACAATTGCTGAAAACTTCCCAAGTCTTGCAAAATATAAAGACATCAAGATACAGGAAACTCAACAATCCCCATGTAATTTCAACCCAAAAAGGCCTTCTCCAAGGCACATTATTGTCAAACTGCCAAAAGTCAAAGGCACAGAGAGAACTTTAAAAATAGCAATAGAAAAGCATCAAGTCATATATAAAGAAATCTTCCTCAGACCAACAACAGATTTCTCAGCAGAAATATTACAGGTCAGGAGAGTCAGCACTTTTCAAAGTGCTGAAAGAAAAAAAAAACCCCTATTAGACAAGAATACTATACCCAGAAAAGCTACCCTTCAAAAATGAAGGAGAAATGAAGTCTTTTCCAGACAAGCAAAAATGACTGGAATCCATCAACACTAGATTGGCCCTACAAGAAATGTTTAAAGGAGTCCTGCATCTGGGAAGTTAAAGTACAATATCTACTATCATGAAAACACACAAAAGAATAAACCCCACTGGTAGAGCAGATACACAAATGAGAAAGAGAAAGAAGCCAACTGTTATCACTACAGAAAACCATCAAAAAATAGTGGTAAACCATAAGAATGCAAGAAACAAAAAAAACTTCCACAGGATATACAAAATAGCCAGAAAACAATTAATAAAATGGCAGGAATAAGTCCTCACCTAGTAATAATAATATTAAATGTAAATGGATTAAATTCCCCACTTAAAGAATGTAGGCTGGCCCAATGGTTAAAAAAATGTGACCCAACTGTATGCTGCCTATAAGAATCTCAGTTCACCTGTAAAGTATCCATAAGAAACTCACTTCACCTGTAAAGACACATAGAAACTGAAAGTGAAAGGATGGAACAAGATAGTCCACACAAACAAAGACCAAAAGAGAACAGAAATAGCTAACCGTATATCAGATAAAACAGACTTCAAGTGAAAAATTGTAAAAAGAGATAAAAAAGGTCATTAGATAATGATAAAATATACCAACATCATTTTTCACAGAATTTTAAAAAATCTAAAATTTCATATAGAATCAAAAAAGTGCATGAATAGTTAAAGCAATCCTAAGCAAAAAGAACAAAGCTAGAAGCATCACACTACCTGACTTTGAAATATACTACAAAGTTATAGTAACCAAAACATCATAGTACTGGCATTAATAACAAACACATAGACTAATGGAAGAGAAAATCCAGACATAAATCCACATATTTACAGCCAATTGATTTTTGGCAAAAGTGCCAAGAACATACAATGGGGAAAGGACAACTTCTTCAATAAATGGTGCTGGGAAAACTGGATATCAATATGCATAAGAATGAAACTAGACCTCTCTCTCTCACCATATATGAAAGTCAACTCAAAGAAGGCTAAAGATTTAAATGTAAAATCCAAAACTATAAAACCCCTAGAAGAAAACATAGGGGAAATGCTTTAGGACATTTGATTTAGGAAAAGATTTTATGGATAAGACCTCAAAAGCACAGGCAACTGAAACAAAAA